CTCCACCTTACCCCCCACCCACCACTCTGCCTTACCCCCACCCACCACTCCGCCTTCCCCCACCCACCACTCTGCCTTGACCCCCCTTTCACTACCCATAATTGGCCTTATTCTTCAGTTGGCCGTATTGAATTGAAAGTGAGGTTACCATTTTATTTTGGCATCTGAAAATACAAATGAAATCACTAAAATAAATTTCAGTCCAAATTACTGTCATTTATACTGAAGAACAATTTAAATTTAATTTCGGGATTAATTTTATCTGTTCATTAATAGCCACATCTAAAATAATGAAAATGAGGCATGGAAGCAAAACTAGTCTGGCACCGCCTCATTTAATAATTTACATGGAATAAGATAGATTCTGGGAACACAATCAAAATGGCTTCCCTGTAAATAAAGTCTGTTGCATGAAATCAAACTTGTATTCTAAGTCTAATCCCATTTGTGGAACTGACCAATCCTATCAAGACTTGTCAATCACCGCAGTGTTGTTCACCCAGTGGCAAAGACACTCCTTCGTTGTTTGACCCCATTGACTTGTTGAAGGACTTGATTAAGGGGTGCTCTACTGTTCCCAGTTCCTGGAAGTTACACCCATAAACAGGGCTTGCCCTTTATTTTTTCTGACAGTAGCCCGCCGGGCTAGTAAATTGTGATTTTTACTAGCCCACAGAGATTTTTACTAGCCCATGAAATGTGTGAAAAAAAATAACAATTAAAGCAGGCTTTTGACTTAAGAGGTTTGGTCCACCAAGACGTTTCTATCAACTGCTATCACGTACGTGGGATGATAGCGGTTCGTGGGTAGACTGGTTCCCGTTCCCTACTCACTCACCCGGCATGATTGTCCAATGAGGGGCTTGCGATCAGTGGTACAACGAAGTCACTGACGAACCGGATTGCACCAGTTTATGGACGCAGTATCGGTTTTTGGTATCTGGTTCCCAGTGCGAATTGTATGTTAATGATATTGGTCATGTATAGAGGTCACTGACTACTGGAGAAACTATCGTTGATGCCTTGATGATAGGTACTAGGTACAATGTACACGTAGTCCCAGCAAACAATACAGGATTCCAGGTGCGAGTCAGAAGCGATGTTGGGGTTTATTTGATTCCAATTAAATAAAGTTACATTCATGACAGACAAAAGGTAAGGCTTTGAAATCAAGACTTTGTTTTAGTTTGTTTAATCACATCAGAAAAACAAGGAAAGTGTACGTATTTTAACTCGCCTACCGGACGACTGAGGGAAGTGTTTTGACTCGCCCATGACTGTTTTGAGCGGGCGACCGCTAAGGAGAAACCCTGCATAAACATTTCATACTTGGTGCAATAGGACTGTTGTAAAATTTCAATAATGCAGCCTCAGGGATCGCTGTATTTTAGAAGCTTACCTTATCATGTCATTTTTTTCTAGATAACGTAGCTGATTGGGATCAAGTCGTGATTGCCTATGAACCGGTGTGGGCCATCGGAACAGGTGTTACCGCCACTCCAGCTCAGGTAACCAGTCAAATCTACTGGTATAAACTGCCTTGTGTAAGAGAACCCTTCACTGATTACAAACAGAGAAAGGCTTGGGTGACGCTCAGATGCCACTGGTATCCTGTGCCTGGTGACCACACTAAGCGTCTGGAGTTGTGTGAAATCACAAGGGAGATCATTGCTGAGTTTAAGCTACCTAAATCTGGAAGGTTTCTACTCAATTCCTTGAAGCTTAGGGTGCCCATGTTACCTTCCATTCAAAGATTATTTTGAAGAGTGATAGAAACCGTATTGAATTGTTTGTCTATTTGAAGGCACAAGAGGTCCATGAACAGCTTCGGGGCTGGCTTGCTGAAAATGTCTCTGCAGCAGTGGCTAAAAAGACCAGGATCATCTACGGAGGTAAGAAGTAGTTGCAAATGTTCTTATGAATAGCCTTATTTTTGTCTCTTACTTAGACTTCCAAAATCAGTGACAGCATAGATGTGGAAAGAATTCCATGTATGGACGCCACCAATTTGTCCCTGTAATGATCTATTAGCCATCTGATGTCAATGTTTTTGTCCTCAAAAGTCCAATTTAGCAGTGAAAATATGGATGTACATGTATTCACTAAGAAAGTGCTTCGAATTTTCAGACCAGTCTCATAGGGTTTGTGCACAGGGTGTCAAGCGGCATCCATACATGGAGCTCTTTGCGAATGTTATAAACACACCTGCTGACTTAGTCTGTCTGAAATAGATTCAGTGCTCCTTCCAAGAGCACTGAGCAAGGTAAGGTGGTACAGTTGATTGTCTTCAATACGGCCGTTTCACAGTAGTGCGCCACCAAGAGTTTGCAACGCATTGGCCAGTCACAGTGCACGAAATTTGTCGACCCAGTGCGCGTTTGGAAAAGGTCGACAAATTTCGTGTGTTTTGATTGGCTGTGTTGCTCTTGGTGGTGCACTATTGTGAATGGCCCGTATTGTATGAGGTGCATTCCGCTCAAATTACAAAAGGTCAGCGATATCCATGGACAAATGGTCAGAAAAAGGGTAATACAAATTGTCTGGTTTTATGTACCTTGAGCTGGACCAAGAGAGGGCGCTGTTTTCTTGGCAACAGGTTCCTTTGGTCGGCACTAAACTTCACTGGTTCATGAAGGACTACCAAACGCATTTGTTATGGTCGCATCATTGCCAACAAAATGAACATTCCCAACCAACAAAACTCTTTTCTACTGATGAGGGAGTGCTCCTGCTCAAGGTGGATAGCTTATGTCCATCAGGTCCTCTTTTCTGATGAGATTTGACCTGTAACCTTTGACCTGTCATTCCAGGCTCTGTCAATGCGGGCAACTGCCAGGAACTGGCTGCCAAGACAGACGTGGATGGATTTCTGGTGGGCGGGGCCTCATTGAAACCTGATTTTGTCAAGATCATCAATGCCAAGAATTGAATTAGAATGAAAGTTTCGCTCACCCTTCGCTGGACATGAGTAAGACAAATACTGTGATATTTGTGGTGATAGAATCCCCAGAGTTTTATAAGGAGTGAAATCAACCAGAGGTCAAACCTTAGTGAGGTAGAAACCAATTTGGAATTCTTGAATGGTACGCAAGAAAGTTGGAGAGTAGGTCTATGTATAACCATGGTATTTATGATGGACTTGACATTAAATGGAAATGCTGCCTAGATGAAAGTTGTACTTTTGACAACATAAAGACAGCTGCTTTTTCAAATTGCATGTAGTGAAAATGAAATGCAGCTATTTGGAGTGGAATTTGTAACAGTTGGCTTAGGTTTGTGAATACTTGGAAAATAATCAGGCAATTGGTAAATCGTTTCCACTGCCAACCTTTTTTGCCAATGTTTGATGCAGACATTTTAAACCATTTTGTGGACTGAGGTTAGCAGTTGGACATGAAATATTCATGCTGTTGAGTTACAGATGACAGTGAAATGTATGAATTAGTCAAAGGGTACGAATCTGGCGTTAAAACAAATGGTCATGTTTTGCATTTATGTAAGCTGAGGCTGTGTTGTTTTCTTTTTCTCACTTGTGAAAACTTGGTGAAATATTTTGTGTACGAGCGATAAATCTCTGGACTTAAACGAGTGGAGACAACGAGGGTCTGGAAGTGGAAAAGTTGCCCAGTTCATATTTTCCTCGGCTGTACTTCAAAAGACCGCAGAGCAAGCTTTGTGCATGTACACTATAAAATGACCATTTGATACAAAGCCCAAGATGCAAAATTGGCTTGCAACATTCATTTTGACATTTCTGACAAAAATCAGAAATACAGGTTTATGTACTCAAAAGGAATAGTAAAAAACTACCAGTTTAGGCTTAACCGTGATTTCATTTCAGTTTAAATTTTTAATTTCCTTTTCTTTGTAAAAATGAAAATGTGACATTTTGTAGTTCAAAAATGCTATTAGCAACTAATTCATGTAGTTGGATTGAGAGTTCATGCCCTCTTATAGCATGTTCAGAACTCCTTCCTTGATGTCTGGAAATAAGAGTAGCTATTGAAAAGTTAAAGAGTAAAACTTTGGACTTGCGAGACTGTTATCATAGACATTTAATCTTTTAAGGGTCTTTTTAACAGGAGCGGAAATATTTCTCAGTACCAACGATGTCTCAAAACACTGTACAGGTGGCAAGTACGGTATCCCGTCTACTCTGGGTAAAGTGTACTGAAAACTGAAAACAGTTCCAAAAAATCAAACATGCAATAAACACCGACAGAGCCTGTTGTTCAATTATTCTGAGTTCATGTATTCAGTAAACCAACAGGAAGCAGAAAGAATTTTAAAATATAACAGTAAAGATACATTGATTTCATAAAGTTTTCAGTTTCACACCAGACCAGCAAAAAGTACAAAAATATTCCTCATACAAATTTCCAATTCCAGACTAGATATTTCCTGCCACAAAATCTTTTTGCAAAAATTGACTGCACATTGGTTTTCGGCCATACAAAATACCGTAGCCTCAGAACACAGGATAATGGAAGTTGAAAAAACAACCCAAATAAGTAAAAATCAAAATGTTTCTCAATGAAACTTACGCCAAATGCCCTTCTATCTGAATAATCATCTTAGCCGTGAGGTATTAACCAACTGATTTTATAGATTAATGCCCCCTTACTCAATTTGACATCCAAGGAAATGAAGCACATGTACATGGAAGTGCATTATCAGCTTCCGAAGATAAAAAAATACAATTTACGGAACAAGATAACTTAAATACTTCAATCAGGTTAATGCTGAAGGGCAGTACTACATTTGCTCAGTTTCTTTGCACTGATTTTTGTTTACAGTTGAAACTGCTTAAAAAGTTACATGTATACTTAAAAAAAGATATCAATGGAATAGTGAGAACACATACGTGTACATGTATGAATGATTTAAGGCAACATGCTAATTTTTTAAAAAATAAGACCTGTACACAAATTTTGTGTTTCTGCCATGCTTACTGGCAGACTTTACTGTTTTGTCAGTGTGACATCGTAATAGTCAACGATGGATTGATTCACAATATGGTCAGTTACTAAAGTTTAGTTCATTGAAGTAGTCGTTATTTGTACATTTTACGCTCGGCAAGGATGCTCCCTCTGCAGTTTTGTTTTTCACATTCTATCAGTTGGAATTTGAAAAAAAAAAAAAATTCAGTTGGCATTTGAGGTCTTTAGTTCATATGTGCTGTTACAATCAACAAAATTTACTCATAAATGTATACAAGATGCCAACTACACAGCTGAAAAGTGGTCTATTTTTTACACCAAATGCTTAGTAACGTGGTATTGTGGCTTGCTTAAAAAAAAATTGAAAAAAAACCCATAAAATACAAATATGAGACTTCCTAGTTCCATTTGCTGTAAAAACACTTTACTATTCGAAAGCTACAGTATATGTAGGTATTTGTACTTCTACATTTGTTATTCAAATGAGGGCAGAGGTCATTTTTATTTTAGTTGCGCAATCTAACCTTTAAATATAAGTTCCGAACACAAATTCTTGAAGAGGCCTGTGGCCTGGTGGTTAGCTTGCTGGCTGCCAGGCCGAGGGGACCCT